CATCCTCTGCCTCTGCCCCTGCACGCAGTCAAAGTGCAACCTCTGAGTAGTTTCGTGCAATAATATGCTCTGTTGTTCCACCCTGGCTCCTGAAACAGCCGACATTTTCAAAGTGTGTCCGGGTGGAGGGGCACACTGCCTCATCACCACACAGCTGCAAGCAGGCAGTGGCTTAAGCGAAGGGTACAGTGTTGCAGTGCAATAATCTGGCTCACTCGCAGCTAGCTTATCGGTACAGCTGTTGACTGGCAGCAAGTCCACTGAAACTGCACCGACTCTCCTCCGTCCATCCCGCCGAAGCACCGGCCGAGAGGGGCAAATGAACGAGCTGGTGAAGAGTTTACCTTCCCCGACTCTGCCCGGGCTGCACCTCCCGTCCGTGGATACCCACAAAGGCTGGCTCTTTAAATGGACCAACTACCTGAAGGGCTACCAGAGGCGGTGGTTCGTGCTCAGTAACGGCCTGCTGTCCTACTACAGGTGACGGTGATTTACTCAGTTAATAATATCAGAAATAATAATGGAAGCTGTTAGCAGCATGTCAGAAATTATTTTTATTTAAAAGGAAATTAAACTTTTTTGCATACCTTATCTGGAGGAAGAGGTTTAGTAACAGCAGCCTAAATAAATAAATAAATGAAAATCACATGAGTCATAACTACAATGAGATGACCCGTGAACGATGTTAAAAACTATATAAGTTTAAACATGGTGTCTAATAGCACTTATTACGTCTATCTATCTATAAATAGATAGATGCTGTCTCTAAGAATAACTTTATTGATCCCAACAGGAAATTCATATTTCTTGAAATATCATATCATAGAAGTCTTCTATAGTATTATATTCTATAATAGAGTGCTAGATATATTAATCATTATATTATTATATATAATAAGGTAATAAATATCTATCTAGTGAACAGCAATCTAGTCTTTCTAGAGGGACTGGTCCTACATAATACAACTAATAATATATAACATAGTATTCATATAATTTTATATGTAGTCTCTATGTAGATAGATAGGCAGACAGACAGAGAGACGGATAGATAGATAGATAGATAGATAGATAGATAGATAGATAGATAGATAGATAGATAGATAGATAGACGGACAGACAGACAGACAGAAATTTAGCCTTGTAAGTCATGCAAGGCAAAGCTCTCATTGTTAACCTACAGTACATATTGTCCACAGTTGTCTCCTGAGGGAAACTTAAACTTGTTTGGTATGACACTTATTGCGACTCTTTTAAAACTGAAGTCCAACTCCAAGTCAAAAATGGAGCTGCTCCATTTTGTAAATGGGGCACATCAGCATGGAGCTGAGCAGAGAGGCTGGTGTATTCTGCTGTTACACGCTGCTGTTATTCCCCTCAGGACTCAGGCAGAGATGGCACACACTTGTCGGGGAACAATTCCCCTGGCGACGGCGCACATCGAGGTGGGCGACACCTGCCACTTGGTGTTAACCAGCGGAGGCCGGAGTTACCACCTGAAGGCCACCTCCGAGGGAGAGTGCCAGAAATGGGTGTCAGCACTGCAACAGGCCAAAGCCAACGCCACTCTCCTCATGCATCACTCAGGTGAGACAAGCATTTTATACTCTTTGTGATTCGTGTTTTTGGACAGTAAATTTTAGTGTAGTGTTAGTGTTACTGTTCTGTCATGGTACCTTTATTTTATGGGGTTTTTTTGTTTTTTTTGGGGGGGGTTGGGTTTTTTGGGGGGGATTTAAACAAAAACACCCACTGAGTGTCCCAGAATTTGCACTTTAAAGGAACAGGATGGTTCAGCTGAGAAGTTCTGAAGCAGTCAAACTAATTTTAGCTGTAACCTGAATGCAGGCTGACACAACCAAGACCCATTTTCCTAAATGCATATTATATTTCTACACATTCACATGCTGATTTTATAGTTATGTAAACAGAAGGACACAAGGTGGCAGTATTATTCAGTATGTCCTTATGAGAACAGTCCGTTGGGGGCAGGGGGTGTGATTAAAGGTAAAAAGAGGAAGCTGTATTTAATCTTGTCATATTAAATTACACCTCACCTTCAGCTATGATCATTCTAATACTCCCTTTTTTACCTTCTGACAAATAGAGCATCTTTCTGTCTTACACAACTGCAGAATCACACATGCAGCTACCGCCACCTACCCTCCCCTCCACGCTGTCTCCTTTCTCCCTCCCTGTCTCCTTCACTATGACGACAGTGAGTGCTGAATGAAATGACCTTCCTGTAGACTCCTCCTCCCCTTTCTGAAAGCAGGAGGGGTAAGAGAAAAAAAAAAGAGAGAGCAGGAGGGTGTGAGCATTTTCATTGAAAATATTTTTCCACTATACACTCTGTGGACAATAGGAAGACACGAGGGCAGCCTTTTTCAGTGAGTGTGTCACCTTGTAAGTAGCCTGCTCATTATATTACCAGTGGCAGGATTAGAAGTGAGACAGTCGCCGTGCATGTGCTTGCATGCTTTTTTTGCATCCATGTATGCATTAGTAATCATAGCTTTATGTTTATGGAGTTCAGTAAGTTGGGCAGTCCCTTTAATTTACTGCACATGCACAGCAGAGCCGTCGTCGACCGTCTCTGTGGACGTTGCCTAGTTCGATTTGAGGTCTGCAACACCCAAAAATGTTGTGTAAAATGTTCGAACTCGGAAGGACTGATGTGTGAGATGTACATGAAATACTGGTTCAAATATAGAGCTTAGCCCATTTACATTGTTTTATGCATTTTAAGACTCCCAGAAATGGTCTTAAAGTGCTGCTGCTCCATGTTTTTGGGTAATTATTTTCATCATAGATGTATCTTCCATATATTATGTGTCGTTCACACAGCTGTGGCTGATGTGCTTGTGTGCATGTGTAAGAAGAGACAGTGCCTTGTGTTTTTTGGTGTGATGTGATTATAGATTATCATCGAGTGAGCTTTTTTCATCTGGGCTCATTAGCGGGACAAATTAATTGGCTAAAAGTCGATTAGAACAGCATCTGTCTGTCTTATAATAGCTATTACTAAAACCTTTAGGCTCCTCTGAAATATGTATAAATAGGTGTGTTGTGAAAAAATAATGTTTCCAGCTGGTGTTGAAGACAAGATGAAAGCGTGAGGATGAATCCAAATAGCCTGTCCTGGAGCCGGCTTTCAGCACACACAGTCAGACTTTAAATGGTTTTTCCATGCTGAGGAAGCTTACAGTGCATCCCCTGATTTTTAACTCTCTCCTCCCACACTGTGTCCATATTGATGCTCCCGCTATCACCTGTGGGTGTTTTCTTTTCTTTTTTTTAATGATTCAACGATGAGTCACCAATTGAACTCTCCAAAGTCCTGTGTGGAAAATAACCAGTCAGTGCACAGACTAGACCAGTATCCCTCTGCCCTACATGTATACTGTTATTCTATGTCCGAGCACTTCCATATAAAAACATCGGATGGCAGATGGCCTCAGATTGCAGATTCATAGCGTCTTAACACCTTGAGCTCCACCAGTAGAGTGCGATTATTCTCTCTCTATATATATGTGGGTCATGAAACCATTACAGATGCCTGAAGGATTTTTCACCCTCTCATTTTTAATCTTCTCCTCCAGAGACGTTCTTAATCCACTTTGCCCTGATTGTTTTCATTTCTTTGCCCCTTTAGATTGAAGTAGTTTATGTCCCGTACATAGGCAAAGTTTTCTTTCAAGCACAGCAGGACCTAGAAAAGTTTCATTGCATAGGATGGAAGCAGTTACATGAACTTAAAGCTGGGTTGTTTGTTTTGGCATTTATTGCTCGCTATAGATATGGGTCTGTTTTTATACTGCATAAGAAGCTTTAATAGAGCACAGAATTGTGAGCAGGTGCATCATTCAATCTTTAAAGTGCTTATGCAAAGAAAATGAATATAAAT